TTTTTTTTTTTTTTTTTAACGTTTATTTATTTTTGAGACAGAGAGAGACAGAGCATGAACGGGGGAGGGTCAGAGAGAGAGAGGGAGACACAGAATCTGAAACAGGCTCCAGGCTCTGAGCTGTCAGCACAGAGCCTGACGCGGGGCTCGAACTCACGGACCGTGAGATCATGACCTGAGCCGAAGTCAGACGCTTAACCGACTGAGCCACCCAGGCGCCCCTGAAATCATTTCTTTTTATTCTGAGGATCTCTTTTTATCTTTAGAAGACTACAGCCAACCTTTCTTCTAATTTTTAAAGTAGTGTCATGAAAGCAGATACTCCAAATATATGAGCATTTAAATATATAGTCTAGCATTCTAATAAAAGAAAATCTGCTCCTTCAGAGCAGTATCTATTAGATAGATCTGTATCTATTAGATAAAATACGTAGTTTTCGGGCGCTGTGCTGAACCACAGGTGGCAGGGGTGGTAAGGATAGGCCTAGAGATCAACTTCATCCGAACGCACGATCTGCCTACAGCCAGTCTGACTACCATCCCAGTTTCTATGGGTCTCCATGCATTTTGGTTCCCTGAGAATCGATAAAATGTCTTTCACTTTTTTTGGACTTATTTCCCAGTTTCCCAACATTGTACATCTTATAACTTTCGGGTTATTTCTGTTGGATTTTCATAAAACCTAGGGAATATTCCAGTGGTTTGAGAGGTTTGCTCGTAAGGACACGCCTGGCCTTCCTATAGTTCCCACCAGTGCTCTGACTGCCATGGAGCTGGAATATGGTCTCCACAGAATGGCATCCAACAAGTTCCCAGTACTTTGGATCTGTGAGAGGCTTCCAATCTTCCTGCTCTACTCATAATACAGTGAGAATTTGATGAGGGCTATCTCTTTCTTGTATAGTGAACAGGTTTAAGCACTTCTGGGGAGAGTTAGAAAATGAATTTTACTTTGAACATTTCCTGATTATGCTAGAACAATTCACAAGACACTTGATTTATTTATTAAATTATGTACTATATTGATTATAGTCAGCATAAATACATTTTTGTAGCTGGCTTACCCTTGCGATGCTTATCATCTGTTGCTCTGAGTCTCTTTGAATAATGATTTTTTTTGCAGCTATAGAAATAACGAATGGGTACTGACAGAAGGAAAACCTGCTCAACAAGTGAAAACAGAAAAAGCAAAATGGTGTATTTTTAGCAAAATTATACTAAGGGAATCTAAGGTACCCCTCCTAACAATATAAAACATTACGTTTGTATTGTGTTTTACCATTTACAAAATGATTTTATGTGTATCATCTCTTTCAATCCCCACAGCCTTGTGAAGCATAGATCATTACTAGATGCACTATGCTTTCATCCTCTAGAGCAAGCTACATCGAACGTTCTGAAACGTGCTCATCACTTACATGGTTTATACAGAAAATTTCAGTTTATGAATAGTCACCTGTAGATCATTACCTGTGAAAATATGGCCGACACCAAAACCAGGAGGCAGAAGTGCTAATGAAGGAGGATTAGGACAGAAAATTCATGTGTGGAAATTATTATAAAAATCCATTATTACATGGATATTTCTGATGTGCAAGCTTCACTGTATTTAATGATGTAGTTGAATTGAATGGTATGTATTTGTAAAGACACACAACATTATGATCAAAGGTCATGAATATAACTAACTTCCTTCCTGGATCAGAGCTGATCTTATGTTAATAAAAGAGCCACAAACTATCCCAAGAGAAATGCCTTTAGAGAGAACTACTATGGCAACCGTGACACTTCAGGAGCCAGCCTTTCACCAGAAGTGGCTGCAATCACTCCATCAGTTACAGCTGGAATCCACTCAAGTACAGTCAAACCCTGGGTGCAAAGAAGGCATTATGAGGAAAAAGGAGATAGCCCTAGTGTGAACCACAAATAAAGCAGCTTTCTCCAAGAGGCGACTGTCAATTAATGAGAGCTGTTCAGTACTAATGTGTAATAGTTTTGAATCACTAAGTGCTAACTAAAAATCTGGAAATAAAACAGGTACAATGAGCTTAGCAGGATATATAATGGTCTTATTCTGTACTTTCAAACAGTGTGTCTCAACCTTGTCCTAGTCATGCACACAGAAAAATGGTACTAAGCAAATAAACTGATGTGGCTGCTCATGGCCAAAGGTGACTTGCTCTAGGGCTCCAGGTCCCCCTCTAAGTCCAGGCTGGCTTCCCCAAACTGAAAGGATCATAGGATCAAAACTCCCCTGTAACTCATTCTGGTACACCAATGCTGTAGCCCAGTGGTTAGAAGAGCTCTGTATTAAAAGATGTCACTGAAATATGCACAGTAACTTTTGGAATTGTTCTGTCTACAACATTACAATTATATTAAAGGTGGAGGAAAAAAGTGTCTTTGTAAAATAAGTCAGCTTTGCCAAAAGAACATCCATCAGACAGAACAAGGTCCCCAGAAACAGTTCTTATCTGGTTCTGAGTGTTCAGATATGGACTGGGATATGTCCATAAGGCCAGTCTATAGTTTTGGCCAATTCTAGTAGAAAGGGTCCCTGGTGGACTGAACCAATTTATAAAGTAATCTGGGGTTTTGAGGATACTTATATCCACACTATATCTCTTAATCTCCTTTAGAATAAACACACTCTCCAGGATATCACATGGTCTGGGATTAAATTATGTTTGGGACAGTCTCACTGGTTTAATTCAAATTATGAATGTGGATATAGGTGCAGTGTATTAAAGAATTTGGTCAAGTGTTTAAAAAATCTATTATACTATTGTAGTAAGTACTTTGTGGTGAAGCCCCTTTGCTGTAACACCCCTTCTTTTTATATTGTGTATAAAGGATACTTTTTCTGCAGAATAAAGTAGGAAAGGAATGAAATGTATGTGTGTATGTGCACATGTGTGTGATTGCTGTGTTAGATCAGGCACTGGCAAACTCAGGCCCGTGGAACAAATATGGCCTACCACCTGTGTTCATATAGAAAGTTTTCTGGGACACTGATGCATGCATTTATCTATATATTATCTAACACTGTTTTTGTGTTACAGTGGTACACTAGAGTTGGTATAGTCCAAAGAGCCAAAAATATTTACCATCTAGTTCTTTAGAGAGAAAGTTTGTGACCACTGTACTGGATGATAGCATATAGAAGAAGACGACATAAGAAACTTGCATACTAAGATACAACTTTTCCCTTCTTAAAAAGATGTTGTTAATCAAACCAAAGCCAAATTAACATGTATATAAACTCAAAACGTAAGAAAAAGATGCCTTAAGAAATATAATAATGTTTCAGAACTGGATATCCAAAGTTTATATATAAAGTCATATGCAGATTTAAATTTATTTTTACAAATTTAACATCCAGTCATTGTTTTGAACAGTATTTCATTTAGGTAAGTAACCAAAATGAGCTTTTGAGCGTACCTGTGAGAGTTTCCAAAGCTCTGCCAGGTGTGGTATTCTTCCATGAGATCAATGTGATCCAATGTAGAATTATAGAAATCAGTATAAGGAATAAGGGGAGGGTGAACCAAACTGTTTGCAGTATCTGTAAAGACAAATTCTAACAATGATCTTTTCCAAAATACACGTGATTCACTCTAATAAGAACACTTTAATGTCCACCAGATAGACTTTATCTAGAAATTCCTATTTTAAGCAATTGTAGTTCTGAAGTTAAAAGGTAGTTTTAAAACTATGGTCCAAATGCAGCCAATAGTTTCTTGCTTTTATAAAATAACTTGTGGTGGGGACTAGAAGACTATAGTAAAGGGAGAACACAGATGGTCACTTTCTCCCACCACTTCCCTGTCAGTGTGTTCTCTCCTAGGAATTCTCAGGAATCAATGCAAGTTCCTGTTTCCTTATGGGTCACTACTTAGCAGGTCACGTGCAGCAGATGGCCATAACACAGAACACTGCCCAATAAAATGCATAAAGCTTTTCCATGCTCATAAATTAACTGTGAAATCTGTTATCAAAACAAGTAGATTACAACTCTTCACTTCAAAGGAAAGTTTTAAAATTTAAGAGAATGCCTCTACAGTACTTTGAGATCCTTATAGAAACGTCCCTAATATTTCACAAAATAGAAGATAAAATCATAAAACCTACTGAGTAAAGACAACACTTTAGATGCTGATGGGATCCACCAGGAGCACTTTGTTATAGGTGGAAATTCTTCAGGCTTTGCAGGAAACAGGCGTAAGGAAATAAATTGCAGCAATCTCTCTACCAATTGTTTGAACCTCTTCTGGGACAATCTGGTAAAGATTTTGAAATAATTCCAATAAAATTCACATTTTCTATTTTGGCAATATATTTGTTAGATATCAAAGTGCATCTTGTACACATACAATTTTAGAATATCCCCTCAAATTTTATTTCTTAAATTGCCAAACATTTGAAAAGATGCAAAATCTTACCTTGAATAGTGTTTCTTGGTTAAATAAGAAATAAACACCAAAATTACTATAAAGTTAGTCTTGAGCATTTCATTTTTAAGGCTTTCAATATGCAGTCAATCCTTGTTATTCACACTCAGTATTTGCAAATTCGCCTACTTGCTAAAATTTAATGGCAACCCCCAAAACCGGTATTGGTGGAGCTTTCATGTGTGGTCATTTGCAGATGTGGAGAAGGGCAAAGAATGTGAGTTACTAGATGTGCATTTTCCCAGCTGAGGTCGAACAAAGAAACACTCTCCCTTCTTGTTTTAGCTTTCATACTGTAAACAGGTATCCTTTATACAATTTACTCAGTGTCATGTTTTCCACACTTTTGTGCTTTTTGCTGTAATTCTGGTGTTTTAAAAGTTCCCAAAATGCAGTGCTGACGTTCTGTCCAGTGTTCCTAAGTACAAGGGGAATGTGAGGTACCTTATGGAGAATAAACTTGTGTTAGACAAAGTTTGTTCAGACATTATAGTGCTGTTGGTCATAAGTTCAATGTTAATGAATTGACAACTTATATTAAATAAGATATCTTTACAGAGAATGGAGATAAAGCAAGATTATGTATTCATTGGTTGATGGAAATGCCATGACCCACAGCTCACATGAACCTAACCATGTCATGTCTCATGGGAACAATGGTTCAGTATTTGTTAATTCACTGTTAGCAGCAACTTTACAGAACACGAATAACATGAGTAATGAGAATCCACTGTATTTAAAAATAATTTTGAAAATATTTTGCCTCTAATATTTTCTCAATCATAGAGAAAAGTCACTGTTTATGTGAGTATAGTTCTATGAAAAAACATACTGTATTTTTAAAAAATTGATATTGATGGCTAATCTATATTTTATGATGATGTTATTAGGTAAGGAAAAGACACTATGTGTCTTTACTGACATAAAGATAGGAAATTAAAGAACACACACTGAAATAGTAGTATCTGAGCAAATCCAGTCACCATCTTTGAGATATATGAAAACCAATGACAGGAAGGTGAGAGCAGTGGACAGAAATCTCAACAGCTTGCACCAGCAAGTGGTTACCTGCCCTCTCTGTGGTACTAACATATATGTTTATAACTGGCTTTGAAATGCTGTTAATTAGAAGATCATTTCTAAAGACCTGAAAACATTTAAATATATTTGGTTATAAAAGCACTAATATCAAACTTGCAACTGTACGATTATAAGAGTTCTTATTAGTATCATAGAATGATTTACTTTTTAAACCAGTGAACTAGGAAATGATGATCAGCTTCCACTAAGGTAGCTATCTGTCGTAGCAAGTGAGCATAGATGACATACGTAGATGTGTTATTAAATTGAGGATTCTGAAAAAGATATTAAAGATAATTGTGTTAAAATTTTGTTAACATGTAAAAGGAAAGACACTATGCTTAATGAGCTAAGTGGTAAATTAGGAAACTACATTTGAGATTAGGAAATACTGGGTGAAATTCTAGAAAACAATAATCTATTTGATTATTTAATTAACAGATTCTTAGATTTTGGCTATGGTACAGCAGAAAGAGCATGGGCTTTGAAATTAAGACAGATCTGGGTCTGAGGACTGATTCTACCACTTAGGCATGTTTCTTAAACTTTGATTCTCAATTTCCTCATCTGTAGAACAGGAATGATAATACCTATCTTACTTGTTTAAAGTAGTAAAAAAGAAAATGTATGTAAGGCTCCTAGCTCAGTGGCTGTTATAAGTGATGGCAAAATCACTGTCATCCAATTTAAAAACCTGGTTCTTCCTTGATTAAAAAAAA